TTTTTTTTTCCCCCAAAGCCCCAGTAGATAGTTGTATGTCATAGTTGCACATCCTTCTAGTTGCTGGATGTGGGGCACGGCCTCAGCATGGCTGAAGAAGCAGTGCGTTGGTGCGCGCCCGGGATCCGAACCTGGGCCACCAGTAGCAGAGTGCACACACTTAACCGCTAAGCCACCGGGCCAGCCCTGCCTTTTATTTCTTTTTCTTGCCTAATTGCTCTAACTATAAATTCTAGTATTATGTTGAATAGAAGGTGTGAAAGTGGGCATCCTTGTCTTGCTCCTGATCTTAAAGAAAAGGCTTTAAGTCTTTTACCACTGAGTATGACGTTTGCTGTGGTTTTTCATATACGGTTTTTATTATGTTGAGGTAGTTTCCTTCTATTCCTAGTTTTTTGAGTGTTTTTGAAAGGGTGTTGAATTTCATCAAAGCTTTGTCTCATCAATTGAGATGATTATGTGTTTTTTTTTCTTTCATCCTTTTAATGTGGTGTATTACACTGATCAATTTTCATATATTGAACTATCCTTGCATTCCAGGAATAAATCCTATTTGCTCATGGTGTATAATCCTTTTAAGATGCTGCTGAATTCAGTTTGCTAGTATTCTGTTGAGAATTTTTGCATCAATGTTCATAAGGGATATGTGTCTGTAGTTTTCTTTTCTTGTAGTGTCTTTGTCTGGCTTTGGTATCACAGTAATGCTGACTTCTTAGAATGAGTTAAGAAGTGCTCCCACCTCTTCAATTTTTGGAAAAGTTTGAGAAGGACTGGTATTAGTTCTTTAAATGTTTGGTTGAATTTACCAGTGAGGCCATCAGGTCCGGGGTTTTTATTTGTCAGGAGATTTTTGATTACTGATTCAATCTGCTTACTAGTTATAGGTCTACTCAGATTTTCTATTTCTTTGTGATTTAGTCTGGATAGGTTTTGTGTTTCAAGGAATTTGTCCATTTCATCTAGGTTATCCAATTTGTTGGCACACAATTGTTCCTAGTACTCTTATAATCCTTTTTATTTCTGCAGAATTGGTAGTAATGTCCTCATTTTCATTTCTGATTTTAGTAATATTAGTCTTCTCTCCTTTTTGCTTAGTCCATCAGCTGAAGATTTGTCAATTTTGTTGATCTTTTCAAAGAACTAACTTTTAGTTTCTATTTGTTTTTCTATTCTCTATTTCATTTATCTCTGCTCTAATCTTTATTATTTCTTTCCTTTTGCAGCTTTCAGTTTAGTTTATTCTTTTTTTTCCTAGTTCTTAAGTTGTAAAGTTAGTTTGTTGATTTGAGATCTTTCTTGCTTTTTTTTTTCCCTCCCCAAAGCCCCAGTGCATGGTTGTATATCCTAGTCGTAAGTCCTTCTAGTTCTTCCGTGTGAGCTGCCGCCACAGCATGGCAACTGACAGATGGATGGTGTGGTTCCACGACCAGGAAACAAACCCAGGCAGCCGAAGTAGTGACAGCCTCGAACTTTAACCACTAGGCCATCAAGGCTGGCTCTCTTTCTTGTTTCTTAATATAAGCATTTATAGCTATAAATTTCCCCCTTAGCACTGCTTTTGCTGTGTCCTGTAAGCTTTGGTTTGTTGTGTTTTCATTTTCATTCATCTCTAAGTATGTTCTAATTTCTTCTGTAATTTCTAATTTTATCCACTGGTTATTTAAGAGTGTGGTGTTTAATTTCCACAAATTTGTGAATTTTTCAGTTATACTTCTGTTATTGATTTCTAGGTTCATCCTATTGTGGTCAGAGAAGATATGTTGTATAATATGTATCCTTTAAAATCTACTGAGACTTAATTTGTAGCCTAACATATATTCTACCCTGGAAAATGTCCCAGGTGCACTTGAGAAGAATGTGTATGCCATTTTTGTTGGGTAGTGTTCTATATATGGCTATTAGATCTAGTTGGTTACTTATGTTAAGTCCTCTTCTACTTATTTATCTTCTGTCTGGTTGTTCTATCTATTACTGAGAATGGGGTATTAAAGTCTCCAACTATTAGTGTAGAACTGTCTATTTATCCCTTCAATTCTGTCAGTTTTTGCTTCAAAACCCCCAGGAAGTCACTTCAGCTGGAGAGGGAAGGGCTTGCAACAATGAGGAGCAGCAGCTACAACACTGGCTGCCTGCCTCTTCATCTGCACCTCTGTGATCAAAAGCAGCATGTCCTGCTTTGGACAGCAATCCCTGATTTGGAGGACAGGGTCCTTTTTGCCTATCCTGGCTCCCATAACCTAGTGCAAGCTGCTCCCAGGAACCTGTGCACAGCTGACCGCAGGGTGGCTTAGGGGTGTGGGATAGGTAGCTTTTACAGTGCTGAGAGCTGAAATTGACCAAAACTAACTGCAATTTACCATCCAAGCCTTCCCCTAGAGGTTGCAAGCTTTCAACAGACTCCAGAGTTCCAAAATAGTTAAAGCAGATTCCGAGAGTGCAATTGTTGCCCAGGTGTGGAGACAGATTCTCAGTGCTTCCTACTCTGCCGTCTTCCCAGAATCCTCGCTTCCATTTTTTTTTTTTTTTAGATAATAAAGCATTATGAAATATATTTGTAATTGTTAAGGCAATGGCTGCCTTGTTAATTTTTCCCAGAATTTTCCTGGCTATTCTTGCAATATTATCCTTCCTTATGAATCTCAGAATCAGTGTGTCTGGTTTCAAAAAGTATCTCATTGGTACTTTTACTGGGAAATTTATAGCTTAACTTAGGAAGAATTTTGTCAATGATTTGAAAACCCGAATATCCTAAAATTCCTGGCTTTCATAAATACTACCCAAACCAACAAAGCTTGCTATAAAAATTAAATTAATACAGAAGTATATAAAGACTGGAGGCCCTCTTAAAACATTTCCTTACCACCCCCCCCCCAACTCCCCTTCACTGAAGTAACTTTTGTTACCAGTTTGATAGTATCCTTTCATACTTGGCCATACATTTACAAACTTTTACCTGTACCTCTACACAGGTTTTTACCGGTTTTGTTTTGTATATATATGGGATCATTAGCGATGAAGGAGCCATAATATGTATATATCAATGTTTTGTAATTCTCTGTAGATGCATATCAGATTGTTTCTTTTTTGCCTTCCACTAACAAAGCTGTGATCAACAGCCTCATATATTTTTCCACATTTGTGTATTTCAGTAGAATACATACATTTCTAGAAAGGAGTTGCCAGCTAGAAGGGACCAATGCAATTTTGCTAGATACTACCAAGTTATCTTCCAAGACAGCGGCAATGGTACTCCCACCAACAATATAGGACGGAGCCTTTTCACACACTATTCTAAGTACTGAACATACAAGTCTTTTTAATTTTCGCGAGTCTGTAAATTTGAGATATCTATCTCACAGTATGTTTGTAAGGGTCACATATATGAAAGGACCTCTCACATTGCCTGGCTTACTGTCAGCATTTCATATTTTATTTATTTTGCCGGCTAATCTGGCAGTAAAATACGTGTAAGGGCTATGAAATCTCAGGGAATCTTAATGAACATAATTTACCATCAGACTTCACTGAGGCCTTAAAGCAATAAACCCAAGGGCAACATTCCCAACCTGTAACGTCTGAAGGGCTGGACCAACTGTACTGATATTTGGGCGTCAGGTTCTGAAGAAGAGAGATGCTCCATTTTCAAAATAGTGTCCCTCTACTCCCCACCCCGCCAACCCAGCGGGTTCCCAGTTCCCCGGCCTGCCTGTCTCCGGGGCCGCGCCGAGCGCCCGGCCGCTCCCGCCAGGAAGGCCCCTTGCGGCCTGTCCTCTCTCCTCCGCACCGAAGGGGGGGCTCCTCCCCGCCTCGGGGCCGGCGCCCTCGGAGCCCCGCCGGCGGCCCCCTCAGGGCTCGTGCTCTCCCACCGAGCGTGCACCCGGGAGCCAGAGCCGCCCCGGAGCCTGCTCTTTTCGCCGGCGTCCCACCGAGGTCCGCGACCCCCCCACGTTTCCAACGTCGTCTTGGAGGCTTGGTTCTCGAGCCTGCAGGCTCGTTAGACCCGCGGCGCCGAACGCGGAGTGACGCGCCGCCTGGGAGCCGGGGCCCGCCCGTCAGACTCCTCAGGCGCCGGCGCCTCGGGACGCCGCCACCGGGACTGGAAGCGCGGCGGAGCGGACCCAACTGCCGTCAGACGGACGGCGTTTTGGGTTCACCTTTTGTAGCCTGGATTTTGGCTTAATTCAACCCAAACAGCGTCTTGGAATTTTACTTAATTTTTTCCAAAGTCTACGAGGTCGCAACAGAACCTCTACCCGAGTGCGTGTGCCGGCTCCCCGAAGAAAGCTCGCTGGGACCGGGAGCCGGGGGTCACCGCAGGGCCGGGCGCCGACGGTGGGGAAACCCTCCAGGTGCAGCCACTGGTGGGACGCACTGCTCTGGGGCCCGCCTCCGGGCTCGCGCAGACCTCAGGCAGCCGTGATTCTGATTGGGGGACTTAGGCGGAAAACCCGCTTGCCTCAGCCAGAACGGGGTTTGATCGGGGGCGGCACACAGTCGCTCGTCTATAGTCCAAACCCGGGGTGATAAATCCCGCCTTAAGAGGCGTTCGATGACAGTTTTACGTGTTGTACGGCAAACGGTGATTGGTCACAGCGCTCGCGGATTCGGTCGGTAGTAAACACAGGGAGGCTCCTGGGACCGTGGATTGGTCAGTGTTCCGGGGGCCGAGTAAATACCCCCGGATTCCGAGCGCCGGCTGGCTGCATTTCTGCCCCGGCCACGCCCCCTCCCTTGCTGATTGGTTGCAGCTCGGCCGGAGGGGCGGAGGAATGGAGGAGCAGGCGATCTCGCGTTGCGTCACTTCCGTTTACTGTCGGCCGCTGCCGCGGTGTTCTCGGAGTGCGGCGGCGAGCGGGCTGAAGGAGCTGGGGGACAGAGGCGGGGTGGCCGGGGGCGGGGGGGGAGGTGGGCGGAAGGGGGAGGAAATCCCATCACGGAGACGCCAGCCTGGACGTTCCCGCCCCCGACACTGTCGGGTCGGGTCGGAGAAGGGTCACCACCTCCTCCAGCGAGAAGGGGGGTGGAGCCCGGCTCAGGTGAGGCGAGTCTGTCAGCGCGAGCGGCGGTGGCGCGCGCGGGCGCGCTCCTGTGGAGACGGTCGAGCTCCGGGGCCTCGGGGCGGGCGGCGGGGCCAGGGTCGCGTCTCGGGTCGCGCGCGGACGCGTGCCGGTGTCCTCCCCAGCCTGCCCTGCCTGTTTTAACGAGGGGTATTGTTACCCTTCGTGGCGGAGGGGCCCGGCGGGTTCTTCTGCGCAGGCGTCCCCCGTGACCCGACGCCAGGCTGTCTGCCTGCCGGCTGGGGCGGGGGCTTCGGCCCCCTCGGGTCCGCGGGCGGGCGATGTTGGTTCCTGGGATGGGGTGGAAAGGCCTGCGGACCAACAGCCTGTCGCGGTGAAGAGAGGCTCTGTCCCGCTGCGGGATGGGGGCGGGTGGCTCCCATGCCCCCAGCCTGGGTCTCCTTGAGCGACGAGGTTTCATCACCAGAGTGAGGCCGAGGCAGCCAGGCATCGGGAACCGGTGGCCGCCGCGGAGGGGTGGCGCCAGGCTTTTGGAATGCCCGGACTTGTCCGAGGACTGAAGTGTTGATGGGCGTTTATTGACTGCCCGCTACCGACGGGCCTCGGGCGGGGAGCCGCGGGGGTGCAGGGGTGAGGCGCAGCCATTCCCGCCCGTCCCTTGTGTGGAGGCCGGGCAGGGTTGTGCATCGGTACATAAGGCAGTGGAGTACCGGGGGTTGAAGGTTAGTTCCTTCCTTCCCAAAGAGGTTATTGGTAATTCTGGCGTAGTGGAGGGCACTGTAGAAGCTGGTTTCTGAATAGGAGACACACCTAAATATTTCATTGGGAGAAAAATTTTGAGGTAAAGTCTTGATGACCAAGTGGTATGCTCGGGTTCTGGGTAATTTGAATGAATAGAAGAAACCCTTCACCTTCAAGAACTGAAACAAAAATTTTTCAAAATATGTTAATATACTTTTCAATTGTAGTAAGTAGAAGATATTACATACATTGGGATCTTTCTTTGGAGGTTGAAGAGAGTGCTGTGCCTTAGTCGTCTTTGATGGTTTGTCATCCTTGTATGGGCCTTTGTGTCTTAGATCTTTAAAAAAGGTGGGCTGGGTTCCTCTTCGTTTCCTTTTCATTTGCTGAAGTATTGCGATTTCCGTGGTGAGGGTGGTTGGCAATAAGCTACAAGAGCCGAGGCGGAGGGGAGAGACCAGGTCGGGGGAGGAGAAAGAGAATTTTAGAGAAACGCCCCTAAACCAAGGGCAGGCCTGCCACGATTGCTTTAACCCGCTCTGGAAATCCCAGCAAACTTGGGAAGACTGGCCTGGCCACCGCAGCTAGCTTGGTGACCTGCCAGGTAAGACTCACTGGTTGGGGACCTGTTCTGGGCCCTTGGGTTTTGCTGAATGAATGAGCCAGGACTTTTTTTTAAAGAGTCCTGAAGTCGACTTATTTTTTGATTTGCTTTTTTTTTCTCCTAAAAATTGTATCAAAACATAGTATAGTTAGTTGGGGATACTGGCAAGCTGTATTCTGGATAATTGAGATGTCTCTAGGAAAATTCTGAAAGTGATGAGATTTGGAAGAAGAGCATCTTATAGTGGGGTATTTTCCTAAATTTAGGGATCAGTGCTGTCAAAAGAGACTTTGGCACAAGATCATCACTAGTTGAAGTATTTAAGAAGATCACTTGGCTACAAAATGCATGTAGTGTTTTAGTATTTAAAGTACTTAGCATGAATTATATTGAACTGGAGTTCTTGATTGTGGGTAAGACTTTAAAATATCTTGTGTAGGGCCGGCCCCGTGGCTTGGTGGTTAAGTGAGCGCGCTCCACTGCTGGCGACCCGGGTTCGGATCCCGGGCGCGCACCGACGCGCTGCTTGTCCGGCCATGCTGAGGCCGCGTCCCACATACAGCAACTAGAAGGATGTGCAGCTATGACACACAGCTATCTACTGGGGCTTTGGGGGGAAAAAAAAAAAAAAAAAAAATCTTGTGTACAGTGAGATATGACAGAGCATGCTGTAGTGCTGGCACAGAATCTTGAATCTGCCTCAATTTCTCCTTGGAAAGGGAAAAGAAAAACCCAAGGTATTGATTCCATGTTAACTTTCAATTTTTTTTTAAATGTAAATTTGTTGTAAACAAATACTTTTCCCCTCTGTCAGTTTTAAGTGTATGATTTCTCTTTTACTGTACTTAACACTTCTCAAATATAGATGTTGTCTAGTAAAGCCAGTTTGTGTTAGTGTAGCAGGTGGAGTGGAATGTAACACTACACTGCAGGTTTTGTCTAAGTATGAACTTCTCATATCTGAAAGACCAGCTGTTTCTGAGTGAACTATGGCTCTTTACAGTTGTTTTCATCACTGAGTAGTGGCTTTACTCTGAACATTCAATTTTGGGGGGTGACTTTCATTTGATTAATTCTACGTATATTTGCTGAAAGCTTTGATTTATATTTCTGACAGCTCAAACAGATTAGGAATTGTGTTGGAGTATGACTTTATTGTAGTATAGTAGGCATAAACAGATTACTGTCTTAGTATCCAAGATTATTTTATCTGTAGGTAATTTTCCTTCTGATCTTCTAACATATTTGAAAGTGTTTAAGGCTCCAGTATTTCCTGGATTCTAAACCACATTTTGTTCACATTTTAATCTTGAAGACAGGATGCCATAAATTAGCATTATGCCCTAGCTTAATTAGCAACTTTTTTTTTCTTTCCTAATGTTACGTGAAATAATATTGCATTTTATAATCATTGGCATCTTAGATTTAATGAAACTTGATACAATTGAGAGACTTTTTTACCCAATTAATTCATTGTAATTTTAACTAATTAATTTTCCAAATTTGCCTTTGTACTCGGAAGAAAGTTTGTTATAGAAAGGAATTCTATCAGAAGTGAAATTTTTTCCTTATATAAATGGAAATTAACAAATATAATGTTTTGTTTCCTTAAACTTTAAAGGATGATTGGGTGGTGAGTCTGCTCTTTGGAAATTTTACTTGGTAGTCTGTTACTTTGTGTACTTGATAACAAGTTTACAAATGCTTTATTTCCCCCTTCTAAATACTTTTTTTTTTTTTTAAGTTTTTTTAATTTATTTTTTTATTTTTTTTCCCCCAAAGCCCCAGTAGATAGTTGTATGTCATAGTTGCACAGCCTTCTAGTTGCTGTATGTGGGACGAGGCCTCATTGTGGCCGGAGAAGCGGTGCTTCGGTGCGTGCCCGGGATCCGAACCTGGGCCGCCAGCAGCGGAGCGCACGCACTTAACCACTAAGCCACGGGGCCGGCCTATTTCCCCTTTCTTAAGTTTAAAATGATTAGGGTGGATTGCTCCCCCTTTTCTTTTGTATGTGATATTGTTAACTTGGTGTAATTGATTTTTCAGTACATCTTAATTAGTCAATTATAATTTAAAATCCACTCAGGCATCTTTCTCTAAAAATGCAAGACCTTCAATTTTTTAGGCTATTTTAGTCTCTACTGCAGAGAAGATTTGAGGAAGGAGGACAGGGAGAAGAAAACCTATTATTTTGAGGTTCAGTTGTGAGAGGAACCCACAGGTGGTACAAAAATTTAAACACATTTAGTAACATACATTATGTTCTTTATTTTGAGTAGAACCTCAAAAGCAACTCAACAGGTAAACTATTAGTCGCTTGCTGAACACTTGATTTGATGAATGATTCAGAAGTGAAGGAATACACTGCTTTGAAAATAAACTAGGTATAAGAAATGAATTAAATCCATTTTTCGTCTTCTCTGCTGGAAAGACACCATCAATAATAGCGTCTCCAATGCTTTGGCATGGCTTTCTTCTTATAAAAGCTTAGTTTTTTTAATTAAGAAATATGTTTCTTGATCTGTCAGGGATAAAAGGCAATGAAAGCTATTTTTAAAAATTGCTGAAAAGGTTGTATGTGGGGGGCAACTGAGATGGGTGGCAGGCAATGTTTTCTAAATAATAGAGGGAAAATATATTTAGACTTCTTAAACAGATGTTAAAATAGATGTAGTCTCAGATTTATAAGGAGCTAAAAGAAGCCGTTGATGGATGGTTTCTATAGATTTTTGTATGTCTTTATGAAGTTTGTGCGATCTTTAGAGTGTTAACTGGCTGCAGATGTTCTTTTATCAGATAATCAACTAGCTGACTCTTCATTTTATTCTTTTTTAATGTTTTTTAAATTTTTAATTTAATTTTTAAAATTCATTTTAAGTTTCAGAAAATGTAGTACCCCAGAAAGGGAAATTTCTAGGCCAGTTACAGTGCAAGTGTAAAATTCTAAACAGGATAAAGCAGTGAAATTTGTCGTAAATTATTTTGAAGTTTAAATGTTTTCAGACTCTGTCATATAAGTGGCTGTCTTGGGCATGCCCATCTTTCAGACAGCACTCTGCTGGTGGGCCACCACCCTGACAGACCACCTCCCTAACAGGGTTGGGTGGACCGAGATTTTCTCTGTTTAACAGGTGACCCTGCTGCCAGGAATGTATTCTGTCGCCCTCCCCTCCTCCCCAAATTTCTGATCCCTGATTCTTGTTAGGCACCAGCCTCATGGAAGGTGGGGTTGGGGAGGCGCCAATGGCAGGGGCCAGTGGGAGGAGAGGCATCTCCTGACCTTCCAAACCAGGCTCTGTTGGCAGTGGTGAAGGCTTGGCAGTGTGGTCTGTGGTGGTGGCATGTGGCATTGGCAGCAAGGGAGGATTTAACGTAAGAGAAGAGGAGAAGAAAAGCCCTCCCTGCCACCTCTTCTGGAACCTTTGCTTCAATTTTCACTCCCTTAGCTGTTATTTTACACACCTGTCTTTTCCCTCTCACCTCCAGTCCTTGACCCTGACCCTGCTGTTCCGCTTCATGCCCTTAAACTCCCCCCAGTCACGTAATCCTTATTCCTAATCTTTGCTAACCCTCTTAACTACATACTGTCTCTCGGCTGAGTATCCTGTCGTTAGCCACCTGGCTCATGACTTACTGGTGGCTGCTCCCATTACTGCAAAGTGAGGTTTCGTAG